TTTTGTTATTGCGACGATACATGTTCTGTCTTAGTAACAATAAAAGCAATATTGGAAAAAAAAGGGAGGGGGGGGGGGAAGAGAAATTGTTTTGACAGTAAAACTGTTTATGAAGAACTTATGCTTATCTAGTCCTTGTCCTGAGTTTGCGTGATCCTTAATTTGTTTTGTTTTTACTGCGTCTTTTTGTGTGCGTATGTGTATTGATAGTGATTGAAGAAGTAATAACACATGAAACTGCTGTAACAAAGCCCCTTCATTCACAGCGTCAGCATATTTAACTGATCTATGAGTTCAGTTTTGAAAACACACATTATTTTGTTCTTTATCGGCAGCGGACAATCATATAGACGACAAGGAGTGTTACCATTACGTAAGAGGAAGCCGCCGTGATGTAGCTGCTAGGCCTTCGTTTGCGGGCACCCAAATCGTGTTTTGAAATCCGTAGTGAGCCGGGTATTGTTTTCCAGGTCGATCAGCCCTAAATGGGTTTCGCGTAATGTGCTGGAAAGTCGTTGCGGCTAGCATGTTTTAAACAGTGGCAATAATACCCTGATTGGTAAGATTATCATGATAATTATGGATCAAATGCGGCAATAACATCTTTATTAAGAGCAGGCTCTGGCACAATATCTTCAAACTCTACATGTTCTAAATGAATAATTTCTCTTGAATTATCAGTATCAGAAACTTCCCTTCAACTCTTTGCTACCAAAGTTGTAACCACCGGTTGCGTCTTAGATAGACTAGACTTTGAAGCGACATGACATTGTTTCTCTGTCACTTAGGTTTATGGTGGCACATTGTTAGATTTATCAAAGCCAGAGTCGTCATACTTTCCAGTAATATATTTTTTACCTTCACTTGCTGAAGAACAATCAACACAAGAATATATATATATATATATATATATATATATATATATATATATATATATATATATATAACATGACTGCGAGCGTCCAGAGTAACCATCGCATGAAGTGCGATTGTGGTAGCCAGGCGTAATTGTCACTTTTTTACATAAGGTGCGATCGTGGAGCCGGTCGGTTGAAAAGAGTGTCTCGTTTTTTGTCTGCGTAGGCGTCGCAATAGCGCTTTGTAATGCTGGGTGGCCGGGCTCGATACCAGCTGCGGACAGCTCGTCTTGCGTTGGTTTCGACAGTGGTACCGAGAGCTGACTGTTCAGTAGGCAATAGCAAACCACTGAACGTAACCTTTGGCTACAAAAACCACGACATCAAAAAATTTTAGGGTTGATTCTGCAATGGCATGTAAGGGACACGCAACTAACTAAATCTATTTATGTAGATAAATGGACCATTTTTTTTTTTATCTCGACAGGCGTATTACATAAAATAAAGGGAGGTGGGGTGGGGCGGTAGAAAGTATATTGCAAAAGAGATAGAAGCAAGCAGACATCCCTACTTCCTTGAAGTGTTGGTTACAAGCTCCTCCGCTGTCAAAGTTGCTAGAGACTTTCGTACCAATCATGTTGTCAATCGCGTATGTGGACACCTATGTTTCTTGAGCACTGTGAACAGACCTTTATGACTAAACCAAATGCTTTGGTTAAATCATTAAAATCAGTATATAAAGTGGTTGAATTTGTTCAGATTTTCCTTGCAACTGTCGCAATCAGGTCATTAAAACATTGATTTGCCGGTACTCATGAAAACCTGACTGTTATTCTGGA